TGTGTGAAGCGATGAGAGAGAGGCCTCACAGGCTGAGCCATTGATATTCGAGGATGATCGTTTCTCCTCGATTTCAGGATCTAGAACACACGTTAGCACTTCATTGAATACTTCACGTGGAATATCAGCATGCTCATTGAGGCCGATCTCATAAGATATATCGCCTGAATCACGCAACAGTAGATCACAATCGTTCGCATCATCGGTGCGGCATTGTTCACCGTTGGCTTTCAGATCGCTGATCTCCCTTAAACTATGCATGAACGCACCCTTCGCAACCTCGTACTGTTCCTTCGAATCATACTTCTTGTTGTACCTGCGAGATCGGAAGAGGGGAGCATGCCTGGCGCCGCCAGGCTGGCGGACAGCCAGTGGCGGTGCACTGACTAATGGTGTATCTCACATTTTTATGAACTCCTGAAAGGCTTGTTCGATGTCATCAACTCCAGCAACCTGGCTCGAGTCTCTGACCATACCCTGAGCCACGATAACGAGGTATAGAATTCTGATGGTGAACCACATAAGAGTAAAGCGTGGAGAGCCAGGCGCGCCACTAGGGGTACGCATCTGTGGCAGACGTGCTGCTTGTTGTGAGCCTTACAGTGTGAGGGTGTACAGTGAATTGCCCTGACCGCTTCTTTCCCTTTTTTGTCTTGTGTCCTCAGCAATTATGCATCACGGTCAAGCCTAGTCACGAAGTTTTCCTTCCGTTGAGTCGGAATGGCACTTCTGAGTGACCTTTGTCAGGCGTTGGCTTGTTCGATTCTCACACGGAGTTATGTAAGAGAGTTTTTTTTCTGGGAACCTCACGTAAACAGATCATTCACGCATGCACAACCCACACGGAATACGAAACGCACAACCTAAACGGAATACGAAACGCACAACCTATGGCAAGCAATAGGCCATTATGGGCATAGCAATATCGTAGCTGTTCTGAACGGGTGGGGAATAAGAGTCTCACTCTATCTTCTGTACGTGTCTCGCGACGCGAGACTCGCGTCTTCACGTATATCTTAATGTAAGATATACGTGCTAGTAGCACGGTGCTACTGACCGGCGGGGTCCGCCCCCCTTCGGGAACCGCTCAGCTGTGGAGACTACTTTTATACTGAAATCGTTGCATTTTCGAAGATAATCTCGCGCATATTCGACCGTACACATTCTCATACCAATCCTAAGGATTAAATCCTCTGAGAAGCAACCTGGTTCCCCGGTAGAACTCCATATCACCACGTCAGTATGTCGATGAAATCGTTCGTGAATACATCGTTAGGGCTCGCGATGGGCTTCGCTTGGGTTTCAATTTCTGCAGCAGTCTGTTTGTTGCCAAGCTATGCTTCCTGGTGATGGTGGAACACCACCACTAGTAGTAACGTAGTAGAAGTTATGCAAATGCCGCTAGAGGGCGTTCTGTCATACTCAGTCAACGGCGGGTCCGTATTTGATGACATCGATCCCTCGATGGTAGGTATCATGGCTAGGACAATGAAGATCATTCGGGAATGTTACAAGCTGTAACTTACAACTCGTAGAAACTACATTCGTACAAGCTTGACCCGTACAGTTTCGGTACCGTTTGTAGTCACTTGTCGCTTCAAGGCAGAGACAATTGAGCTGTTTCGTCGAGCCATGGCTGGGAAAACAGATGAGAAGAGTTTGACATTATTATCCACTGCACTCGGTAGTATTATTCGAAGATTTGATTTCGACTGTTGAAGCTCCACTACTCTTGATGTTATACTTGGTATGAACATCCATAATACGAATGTCACCAGTTTCACATGGTATGGAATCCAAACTGTTCCTGGAGTCTCCAGGCTGGACTCCAGCCGCTGGAGCAGGACCTATCCTTCCGAAGAGTAGGTCGGTTCGGTAA